GTACCGTACCGTACCGTACCGTACCGTACCGTACCGTACCTCCTCCTCCTCCTCCTCCTCCTCCTCCTCCTCCTCCTCCTCCTCTCTCTCTCTCTCTCTCTCTCTCTCTCTCTCTCTCTCTCTCTCTCTCTCTCTCTCTCTCTCCCGCGCTTTGCCGCGACCGACCGACAAATGCGTTCCCCGTTGCAGACAAATGTCCAACGCGAATTCCGGACAGACAATTATTTTTATTGACATGATGATCGCGTTACCCAGTACTCGCGAAAAACCTGGCGCTGCAGATGCATCACGCGAGGAGGAGAATCCGTGTCCGCGGGGAATACGGCTTTCTTCGCTGATTATTCGAACGAAAGCATATCCTCGAGATGCTTCCCGCGCGCGCGGATCCAAAGTGGCACGGATCTAAAGTAGCGAATTATTACACGAGTATTATGTTGAACGCCACTCGACGGCGGCTTCAAGGACACGTATCGGAAATCGCAACTGTACAACTCTCGCAATCACGAAATATTTGCTTTACGTTCGACCGCCGGTCCTTCTGGGAGGAAATACCTCGGCGATTTGTTGGGCCCGTAAATAAAGGAGAGATGATTTCGACGGAAACACGACGTAATCACATAAATCCCCGCGCATTAAATCTCAGATTGACCGCGTGATTATCGATAAATTTTTCCCTTAAATTAATAAAAGAAAATAGAAATAAAATTTATAGCTTTCTCATTCCAAAGTTTACTTAAAGATCTCATTCGACATCAGCGTGAGAATGAAAATCAGACGTCGGTATTCTTCTTCAATCGTCACTTACATTTAAACATTTATCTCATTTACCTTCCACCCTTTAATTCGCCAAATTATCAGAATGTTTATTTCCCGCCATTGGCGCCGAAAAGAGGATTCCAAATCGCGAGGCGGAGCGTTTAAACGGAGCGTGCGGTCAAGAGTACGGATGATGGCTGGTGTCGAAAACGGGCATGGTTTCGGCGTAAATTTGAGGAGTGTTCATCGACACGCCGGCCACAGTCGTCGATAGTCACGAATCCATAATGGACGAATAATCCCCTTCGATCGGCCGAGCCGCCTCAAGCGAGATCGGAGGAAGCCCCGGCGGTAATGGCTACGTGAGCAGCGTGGTATAGGTAGCGACAACGTGCCCCTACAATCTTAAATGAGGAAGAGAGCGGTCGAATCCTTTACGGTCGAGCATGATTTTCTACCCAGATATTTCATTTCCGACAAACCCGTTCCCCCGGGCGATTAATCGCCCGCTATCGGCGCGCGTGGCGAATCCGCCGATTAGGGTCACCGATACGCCGATATTGGAAAGTATCGACCATCTATTTCGCTTTTAACGTCGATTGTACGGCGTAATGATATTTAATACACTCTGGTGAACGATACCCCGATACCGAGCCGCAGATCTTCCTTGTATCCTGAAAATCTGATAAGTGATTCAAGTTTCTTCTCAAATTACTACACTGGGAAGTAAACGATTTTTTTTTTTTTTTTCTAGAAGCTTTATAACTCTATAATGTTCATCTCTACCGTTGTAGATTAACTTCAATCTTGGTTTTTAACTTAATTTTTATCTCTTTTTAGTTCTACATTGATTGAAATGAACATTTATTATCTGTGAAATCCTGATAGGTAAATTTGAAGATCAAATTGATATTTAACATTAAAAAATCCATAATATATGTGTGAAACAAATTTTTCTAATTCAATTGTTATCATTTTTAATTCTTATTCTTAAGATACTACTTAATGATATTGAGAGTTTTTGTTAACACGTGTCGTGGCATTGATATCGCTCTGTCGAGAAACGTGAGTGATAAAAATGTCGAATTTTTCTTAGTCAATTAATTTTAAAAATAAAATTTTAAAGAAAAAGAATAAACGAATCGATATTAATATGTTAATATAATTTAATCGATTTTCTATTTTTATATATTATTTTTCTATTTTTATGTGTTATTTTTTTATATCTTTTTCTGTTCTACATCTATATAATATATTTTTCATTTTTCATTTCTCCTCGCGATATCGTCATGCTAGTTTTTACTTCATTTAAATCAGAAATATACTCGTGATTATCCGTTTAGTCAGCTATATCGATGACCGCGTCATGTCGATCGTCCTTGTCTAGCCAGAAAATACTATGTCTTACCTATCGGCGATCATTAAAGAGTAGCCTATGTCGACTAAATTGAAGAATATTCCCAGAGAGCGGACTTGACTCTTATCCGATCGTGAAAACTAACGACGCGTACGAGTAACGACGCGCGCGGAATGTGCATTGACGAGATCAATCGACTGAAATCATCATTATCGATCGCTCTTTAGATATCACAATTACAGTCATATCCCACAATTATCATCTACCTAATATGACTATTATACAAAATATAACTACTATATATATGTATATACATATACATATATAAAGTATTTTCTGTAATTCAATTATTTAGAATATCTCTGTTGTTTTTAATAATATGAAAAAATATCAAAGGGAAAAAATGGTTCGTGTTGAAGAGACAAATATTATGATAGGCAGCATTTTTTTAATGCCTATTATTTTATCTCATTATCATATGTATATATAAAATATTATATTTAAAAATAAATTTCAGCGCAGGTTAAGAAACTCGCGTTACTTTCCTCTTCGTCGGCGCGGCGTGTATTTATTTTTCTTTTTCTTTCCTAAATAGTCATCAAAGCTTTGATTTCAACGTGGTTGATTTCACGTCATCATTATAGATGTCCATTGTGAACCAGGGGACCGTATCTCGAAGCGAGTCATGAATTTTCGAAGCTTCCGATTCTCGCTACGGGAATGCGAGGCCCCCTCGTCATCGTACGCCGCATTAATTCAAGGGTGCCTCGAGCATGACTATACCGTGGTTTTAATGAGGTTTAACGAGCACCTCCTTTCTTATTTTCAGCTTTTGTTTTGCCATTTCGAGCGGGCGCCCGATTTATCGATCTCTCGCGCGCTTTTGCCTCCGCGTCCATAGAATCTAACGTGCTTCGGAATTAGACGC